TTCAGCTTGGTGGGCCGCCGAGAGGTACTGGGCTACTTATAGAGGACACCTTGAAGACCCCAAGAGAACTCGCACCATTTCGCAACTCCGCGGAAGTTTGCAAGTCTTATCAAAGTAAGACCTGTCATTTAACATGAACAAAAGGATCTAGCGAAAATGCCAAGTGCTCCCTCCAAACCGAACAGCGCCGATCCACTACCCGAGTTACTCACCAAAGTTCTGATACAAATTGAGCATGACCCTCGTCGTATTCATTGTAAATTCTTCAACAGCTTTACGACAATCCTCATTATCATATAAAGGCGTGCTATAAACAACATCAAAGATCAGTGATAAAACAAAATATATATGCAACATAACAAATAACGGATGTTTGGAAGCGTACGTGTGGGATCTAAAAGCAGAAGCGGAAGAAGAAAACACCGTGTTATTTTCAGTATTTTCCACAAAAAGAGCGGATAGGTTGGTCCCCAAAAACGATTATCTCGAAGCGGATATATAACCATCTGAAAAAAAAACTGGCCTTTCTAGTTCATAACGAAAAAGAACAAAGCTAAAGGATAAGTAAGTAAGCAGGGAAAACAAGAAACCTGTAGTATTGAACGTGTCAAAACACAACTGTCATCATAACTGAACCATTTCATGAATTCAATCAAGCTTGTCGAATCCGACAGATTATTCCTGACCTGGGACGCCATAAAATGAATCCTAGAAAAGAATGAACTATTGGAAAGTCGGCCGAAAAAAAAATCAGTCATTAAGAAATAACGTAAAAAGAAGCGCCGCCTTAGTGCTACAAAAATCGGGAAAGGACAGAAAATATAATACCGTGTAAATTACTGAACTCACTTGCATGAGACGCGATGGAGATGTGGTAAGGCCTTTTCTCTAGGAAGAATTTCGATTTTCCTAGGAAAAGTAGATGGCAAGTACTGCCTGTTCAGTTCTGGTTCAAACGCTATCAACCATGAAAAATCGCCTTAAAAATACGCCATAATAAGGTACATAGAATCGACAGCTAAGAAAAGCTAGTGTCCACCGCTGGAAAACTAGGTACACAGTAAAGCCCAATGACTGGGCACCATCCAAATGCAAAATGCAGTGACCGAGCTAATGACTACAAGGATAAGGAAGGCTTGATGAGGCGTAGAAAGAGCATGGGAAAGAAAGATAGCATGAAGAACACCACCTAAGAGATAAACGAGAAAATACCGTAGGGCAAAATGGGAAGGGTTGAAGGGAGCAAAAATACTGGGTCTAGGTGCTCAGCAATGTTCCAAAAATTGAGAATCTAAGAGAAAAAAGTAAGCAACGGCAAGAGTCTACACGTCGAGAACGTGCAAGGAGTCCGTCTCAAGCTATACAGAGTCGAAAATTCATTTACAGCACCGAGAAAAGAGCTTCGGGCAGCTAAAAATAGCTTTCCTTATCGGATCACCATCTGATTTTCTTTAAACTGAACACGGGGTACAACATCCTTAGGACATTCGGGGTGTGGAACTCCACTTGGTCGCTGGAGAGGGGCACTGTACTTTCCTTTGGGAAAAATTTCCCGGTCTGGGTTTTCTCGGTTGTTCCCGCCGCTATATATTCGCTATGACGCCCATGTGCATGCACCCTTCTAGATGCCGGCGCCGCAGAACTAAACTCCAATAACTACTATTTCTGAAAATTAAAACCTGAGTGCTAATGAACTCCCAGCTCGACAGCAATTTTCGGAGAAGAACCGCAAAATGGTTCCGGAAAAAAAAGGAAAAGAGGTAGTAAAGTGGGAAAAGCGAGGAAGATGGTAAATAAGCTACAACTTGGAAAAAACTATTTCCCAAAGAATGGAGGAATTGCTTGGGTCCTCAAATTCGTAACGTCTAAATCAGCAAAAACGAGCTGAAGAAAGAAAGCGAATTGAACGAACCTACGAAGGTCCGAAGGAATAGGTCTACGAAGGATCAGCTCCCGGCACCGAAGTGTCACCGTCCATTTTAAGAAGTGGTAAAACAAGCCTCAGCCTCATTCCTAGCGAACGCTAATGAGAAGTCGCTATGAAAAGCGCCATGCAGCAAGAAAAAAAAACGCGTCAGCAAACAATTTTCTATTCCTATACATCTAGGGCAATGAAGTCCGGTAGCTGTCGGCGGACTAGAAGCCTTTTGCGGAATGATGATTGGACTGCATTGGATCAAGTCCAGTGACTGCCCACTGAATAATGGGCGTGGTATCGCATTTCTGACGGACACTCACTCATTATTTGTTACTTTATCGGTTGAAACCCTCGGATTGGACCAAACCTTATATCGCTGTTGGAAACGCGGCTCTGTGGTTCGCTTCAAGCTTTTGGAGCTCGTCAGAAACGTAATCAGATGAGTGAGGACGCGTGGAGAAAGGGAAAAGAAACGTGGCATAAGAAAATAACCCAGAAGAGACAGAGAAACACTAAATCAACTAAAACAGTCCAAAAAACACGAGGAAAAAAGGCGTACCATCACGCTCGATGCCATCCGGTCGCGGTGCGGCTTCATGCATAGAGGTGTCCAGAAATTTTGACGACAGCAATATAAGTTTAGAAGCTGCACTCGTAGCGGCATCCAGATCAGCTCTGGAAGCACGTTAGTTCAAAGCTCTATACAACACAGAAAAAACTAAACAGAAGAAAATATGCAGGAAAACTTACGTGAACCCTAGTGCTTCGAGTGGAGGCATTTGCGCGGAATCCAAGCGCCAATCTTCTGATTTTCTGGGAGGCACCAGAAAAGTGAGAGTAACCAGAAATATTCGCATAAACGCGATACGAGAGGACAGAGTTAACAGCTTCGTCTTGTCATCACTTTTGTCCTACAAAAAAAGACCAGATTAGAGTCTCATAAGAATAGTGAGGCAATTTCGAAGTTTGGGAAAGCTGTACATTGTAAATGCAAAAGTCATCGAAAGCAAGAATGTGTTCATACTTGGCATCAACGTTTTGAGCGTTTTACCAGGAAAGTATCGGTCTAGCGTACGCTCAGAACGGTGACGTAAACCATGAACGCACTCTAAAACTATCCGTATCGGAGGGGGAGAACAACAGATTCCCAGCGGGTCACTGAGTTGACCATAAGGAACGGTCATCACCTCCTTCACACATCCACAGACTTCCATATCCCTGGAGTTATTCCCCTCGAAACAAAGCACATCGTAGGTCGTATGTGGTTCATATGTGGTGTTGAGATAATTTTTCTAATACTAATCAAATTTTCCCTTTCGCTATTATAACACCCTTCGCCCCCCCTGCAGCAAAATTTTGGGAGTCTAATGATTAGGAAGCCACTGCATCAGGAAGGCAGCGGTAAACTGGCAAAGAGGGGTCGTATGTTGTATTGATAATTAAGTCGGGAGCAGAGCACGCGTGTTTGCTCCCGGGGGGTCGTGTTTGGTCGTTAGTGAGAGGGGAAAGATACTTGCTTTTGAGGAAAATGTCTCGAACTTTTCTTAATTCTTTTTATTGTTTGAAGGGGCGATCTCCCCTCCACGCCACGAAGTTTTTTTTTTTGCAAAAAAAGGGTATAATTCTAACAAAAAAAAAAAGTAAAAAAGAGTTGAAGAGTTCGGAAAGTGGTGCCAAGTAAGGAGCTTTAAGGAATCGGAAGACGGGCGACCGTACGCAGGGAGTAATTTCGTAGCGGGCCGCGTTTCGCGAAAAAATTCCAACGACAGGACCTGCCCTGATCCAGTCATCGCCATTTCACATATTCCGATGACGAAACCCCAGAACATAATCTCCACGGACGAAATCTCGGGTTTGAATAAGGACTGCTTCAAATGCACCCTACGCGGTCTTGCGCCGATCTATATTGTAAACCAATATACTAGATTACAAAATGGACATATAAAAAAAAAGACGTACCGGGTCTTCGGAACTCCGTACAAGATCAAGTTCAATATCCTTCATTAACTGAATAACATCAGTCATTGAATAATGCGATGTACAGGGAAACGGCAAATGTGGATTAAAGTCTTCCTAGAAAAGAAACAACATACGAATTCCACAAGAAAAAATTGACTTCTTGAATAAATCACCTCTTCGTAAACACTAGCATTTTGAATAATACTTTTAACAAGCATCACAATATGGTAGAAACCGTGAGAAAGGCAGGCAAATACGGGATGATCCTCAAAGTGAACACGTTCTGGGTCGGTGAGCAAAACATTGGTCCACAGCTGAAAGCAATTGGATTCTCCACTTCAAAATCAATCAACTCTTTTCAAAATACTAAAAAAACGTCTCAAAATTCATACCGTCTGCCCTATGCAGCTGCCTTCAAGCCAGGTAACAAACGTGCAAAATGTTGCATCGTAAATAAGCAACTGTTCACCCAATGAACACTTATATAATCCCTGAAAAGGAGAAAGTTTCAGTGATGAGCGCTGTATTACACAAACACGCAGTGAAAGAAATTCAGAGAACTTTACGCCAGGACGAAAGTTTTTTTCTAGATTTCGAAAAAAATTTAACCGCCGTCCGGCTCTGTGGGGACATATTACTAGCTTCCATCGATAACTGCCGTTGCCCCCACTACAGGCCTGTACTCCCAAAAAGCTATCAGTAGAAAGCTTCATCTACGTTTGACAGGACTGTCCAGGTTTCACAAAGGTGAGACGTGAAGATCAACAGTAACTTGAAAAAGAAATTAGGGAAAGTGCAAAATGCCCCTCCATGGGGCCAACTTCGGATCAAAAACTACTCAATGTTATTACAGCTGTCGCAAAAAACATATTTGCTGCCATTGCCTTTTACACCAAGTATGGAATATCGCACGATTTTTACAGTACACAAAGTATGGAATCATCCAAGATTTTCCAGTTAAATATTTGACTCCTTTCGTTTACAACATTTGATTGCTTTTGTAATGCTTCGAAAAGCAGCATCTGTCACGAGACCTCTCCTCTACTCATAAAACAACCTGGCAACTCAGCACCCCAAAAAAACGCCCTAGGCTGCATTCAGACTTTGCGATGACGCTCGTCTCGCGCCACCGCAACGGCCCGACGCTACAGAAAGCGGTCATGGTGGGTATCGATCGCGGTCATGGAGGGTATCGATCCCGCTAGTGTTTGGGGGAAAATAGGAGAACAGAAGAGTCAGCACACAGTCTGAAACCCTAGTTCTCTCTATACTTTCTAAAACACTAGCGGCCAGCGCCGATCGATACTCGTCTATGGCTGCGCCCCGGTTAATAGCATTAGAGCCAGGGCACATCTTGTTGGGGAATCCGCAACATGGGGGGAGGGAGGGGCGCTAGGTCATATTTACTTTCTGGCTTTCTAGGAGTGGTGGGAGTGCTGGTCGACTTTTCGTGATTTTCCTGTTTTATGCGTAGTATATACCCCACCCCCCCCCCTGTTGCGGAGGGGTCGTACGGACTCGACTAAAATCCCCAACCAATGATGTGCCCTGATTACAGCGATGTTGCAAGGGCAGTGCGGCAAGGCGCGTTTGCGAAGTGTGAACGCTTCCTTATGAAAAAAAACCCATGAAAATAACCATTCTGAGGCAGGTGATGAAGATTCCTGCCTAAGGTAAAAGCGGAAGGTGTTTCGGGGTGGGACTGTTAGTTTCATTATGATCAGAAATGGCTTCGAATGCCTTAAATGGTCTGTATCAAAATGCCCCGTTTTTCCTTCCGGTAAAAGAACTGGTCCATTTGGAGCATTGTCGAATCATCCAAAAGGCATGCAATTACGCAGCCACTTCATGTTGTTAAGAAATTCCACCACCAATTCCACTACTAAATGGTCCCTGCACTTGTTCGGGTTCCAGATGAAGGAATCGAATTTGCCTTCGTATTACTAGAGCAGGTAAAAAATAGCCCTCTCCGCATGAATAAATCCTTTGCAGGGAAGCCATTACGCGGACATTCTCCTACCTTTGCTATTGATTCTTCAAGACCCATTTTTCGCGTCACTTTCTTCATGCCAATATCCATCTTCTCGTCCATCAATTCTACGGCGCTCATTGCTTCACCGAGAGAAAACGAGTCATATCGAACAACCTCGCCCAGGGCTAGGTCTGAAAAGATCCACGTAATACTTTTATGGCTTATGTAGTAATGAACACTTTACTTACGTGAACAATCTTCGAAAAACCTTTCAGTAATGTCGATAGGTTCCTCATTGTCGAATGGTAGGTCAAGCTTCCGAGCGGCTTTGTCGAGCAGCTCCCGCAGCTCCGAATTCGCCATTCGGAGAGATCGGAAACTGAATGAAACAATTAGACAGCGTTCAGACTTAGCGATCGTCAAGTCTGAACGCTGTCTAATTGAACAGTGATGAACAAATGACAAAAATGATAGGAGAAAACGAATCCAATAGTGACAAACAACGTAACAACGTATGAAAATAATTTATAAAATTTATAAATTATCAAACATACTAGCAAAGACTAAAACAATCATAGCACGTATAAAGAGGTATAAAACTGACAATGTAGAAGATACCCGATAAAAAAACAACCAATTCAACTAACGGAGGATATACCATTTAATGAGCATAACTTCTAAGGAGATCGAAAAACCTATTAGGAGCTATATGAGATCGTGAAGTGGGTGTGATACACGCACACCAACGGCTATTGCTTGGAAAAGTTACACAATGCACTGGTATAATGTGAAAGCTGATCGAGTGAAGACAAATAGATCCCTAGGCAGGGGGTTAAAGGCACGCCTTTATCTGGAGCATGTAGTCCTGCCCTTGAGGATGTAGGAATGCACTCTTCGCAGCTCAGAAATACGTTAGGAAAGCGCGACCCGTTCGCAATGGGGCACGGTCCCGCCCACAGACCACAGTGACGCCCACCTCTCAATTCTAAAGACTTCTTAGTGGTGCGATTGTTCCGCCACTTATTCACTCTCAATTTCGAACTGTGAGAGTGAGGTTACGAGGAAGAAGAGTTCATACCAACAGTGGGAACTGTTCGACCACGTCTAATGCCAAGCACGGGATAGTGCGTGGCTCCATGTGGGCTATTCCGGGTGGGTTTTTTGGCTTTTTTCTACACTTTTGTATTACTTACCACCTTGTCATCAGTATTTGAGCCGCATTACTTCCCATTTCTAAGCCCGGGGCGTGCCTCTATGCGGAACTTGCAGCACTTTCCCTCGCTGCTTCTTCATCTTTTATGTCGGAAATAAGAATGGCTAGATCGACAGAACGAACATCCGCTTCTATTTCTTCTTGGGTCAGTTGGCCAATGACTACGGGATAATTGAATCGTGGCCGTTTGTAACGTCGCCGTCGATGGTTTTCCTCTGGTCGCATGAATTTCATATCAAAGCGCTCATCTGGAAATAAGTGAACCTCAAGCGAATAACGAAGTGGCCAAAATTTCAACAAGAAAAAATAAAAAGCAAAACAAAATCGAGAAGGAAAGCGGCACTATTCACTTATTAGGCTGCGTTCATACTTCGAGATACTGGAGTGTAGGATATCAGAGCAGCAGATATGGGGAAGAGGAGAACCGAACAAGACACACATCGGAAAAAAGCGTGCCAAGAAATAGCCGGAAAGAAATCGCAACTTATTACACAATTTTCCTATTTCCCCCGACAAAAAGCGCGTCAAGGAATCAGAATGAAACAGATCGACCCTGGTCTTTAGCGAATTGGAAGGATAGGAGGATCGGGCAATAGGTCCCGTTTCGTTCTCATCTACCCTCTACATCTTAGCGTGCATTCTCTCGATCTCGCCATACTCCAAATCTCCTACAGCCACGACTGGCCAGATCGACATTTAGACATTCCTTTGAGCGCGCTATCCTTTTTTCGAGTTCCCCATCTTCCAATTCTCAGTGTAGCAAAGTATAAACGCGGCCTCACCGCCTTTTTCCAAAGTAAGGCCAGATTTAGGGTCAAAAATTCCCTTGCGGGTAGTTTTGGCTAGAACTTTGTTTTTAGAGCAGCTTGACCCCCTCTTCCCAACATGAGTAACACAAGCGTTTAGCGCGAGAAGCGCATGGTACCTGTGCGGGGAACCTTGGCGCTAAAATAGATCTGCCTTAGGCGCGGACAACGGGTTTTCACGCCAAGCGTACGAAATCCTCCTATTCAGGTGGGTCAATCCACTGATGGGGCCAAAACGATGCTCAAGTTGTCGTAGTATAATTTTTATCAAAACCAGGCTCATTTCCGATTACTGATGCAGGAAAGGGCAAACAGTGCTAGGAAAGATTTGAAATAAGCTTCAAACTTACCAAGGAAATATGACTTCACTATCCTTTCCTGAATTTGCCGCTCCCGTTCACTTCGAATCTCATCCAGTAACTGCTCCCTCAGTTTCTCCTAGAAAAAAGTGGAAGTAGACGAGTTTTTTAGTGGGGCAAAAATAAATGAAAAATCATAAAGACCGCTTCAAACTGGACACACCTGAGCAATAATTTTATTGTCGTTCTGATTAGTTTCAGCAATCTTCTTCAAGCCGACCGTTCTCCGTTCTAATGAGTCCATCTCAAGAGTACGAATAGCCTCGGTGAGCTTAATCGAGATATTTTAAATTCAATAAGCGACAACGGCTTCAAAAGAATGTACCCGGTTTCGAGCATTGAATTCTTCCAAGAGTTCTCGATGTTTCACCAAAAATTCTGGATCAGTCTGATTGAGCACATCTTGCCGCCTTTTCATCAACTGAATCACAACATTCACTGAGCAGATGAACAACTCAAATTCGTGAAGAACCGTACCTGCTTGATTTTTAAGTCCCTCAAGACAATTTTCAGCTTATTGAATTGGATTTCTGACAAAATTATCTGCCGAAGGCATAATTCCCGGCGCTTTTCGTATTCTGCCGGATCTAACTCGCTTTCTGAATCAGAATCAGACATCTCTCGCTCGCCATCGGATTCATGCCGGTCGTCCTCGGCCATCTGGATGAGTTTAAGGCAAATGACGAAGTAGTAACAGACTGTCTGAGAAGATCTATGAGGTAGAAGCTGAGGCACTAGGTCATGAACGAAAGTTGAAGCAGCGAAATGCAAACGCCTGCTAGCTACAGTAATTCCGCCCTTTAATTTGTACATTAGAGCGCGAAAAGCGACCTGGAAATCGCCGGCTGGATGGCGACGTTCTTAGAGGGGGCTGTTGAATCTTCGAACCTTAATCAGTAATATCGGAAAGTTATCCTAAGAGTGCTGAGTCATAAGCATGACCTCACGCGGGAGGTCATGCTCATAACTCAGCATTCTTAGGATAGCTTTCAACCTGCATCTCACGCTTACCGAGCGAGTGCTCTATCCATTACGCTGATTGAGGCGTTAAACAGCAGTTACCATAATAAAAGGGAAGATGTTCTTCAGAACGAAAGTTCTCGCCGTAGGTTTGCTGAAAGAAAAGAGTCATGAGGTTCTCACTCTTCATCCCTTCCTGAATATATATATATTCTCCCTTTCGTGTGAGTGAGACAAGTTTAGAAATTAAATTAAAATTATTTTTCTAAAGGAATATAAAAGGATACAGCAATTGAATGTGTTTCACTATAGTGAAAAAAGTCAGCGAAAGCTTGGAGCGTCTATACGGAAGAGATCTTCTTCTTCTTTTCCCTAACGTTAGCCCACGCAGTCCGCTGTTCTTGTTGTAATCGTTTTCACTGCCGACCCTGGGGCCAGGAGGTAGGTTTTGCACCACATCAGCCCGTTTCCCACCAGCTACTGACGCTTCCCCGCTTTCATAATTGGTGGATGGAGTGATGCCTCGTCAAACCCCCCCCCTCCTCACATGACACGCCTCAGCGTCTGCAGCGAAAGCGATTATAAACGTCACCAATTTTGTGATCCGAAGCACCTTGAGAGGTGACCCTGACTACAGTGAGGTGGCTCTCGATGGCACCCTTCCATTTTTTACCATTTTTTTGGCTCTCGTTCCATGTCCAGTACTTTCCTTATTGGGTGGCCTACACGTGTTCTGGGCACGTCCCCAAGCATCGTATCGCCACTCCCGTGCCTTTTCGGATGTGGACCGTCCGCATGACCGTCCTCTTTACATCTTTGTCTAATTGGGCTCACCCATAGGAAAGTCACAGGTTCCTAATTTCGGCAAAGCGTAGCTTCCTTTTATGTTTCTCGCCTAGAGGGCAGGATTCGCTGCCGTAGAGCATCCTAGGCTTTATCATCAGGGCACGTCGTACGCTAGGGATCCCCAGCGAGGAGTCGCACTTGGTCAGTGGAAGGAGGGGGTCGTTATTGGCCCGAGAAAAAGTTGGAGTCAGTGGCATTGCAGAACCACTCGAAAAGGGTTAAGAAATTGGGGAATTCTAGAAAGATGGTGGGTAGCATGGGGTTTGGAAGGTACTACCCGGACGAGGAAATTCGAGGGGGGGGGGCGTCGTAGTTTGTTGTTTGCTAAAACTTTTTTCAGGGCACGAAGTGCATTGCCAAACATTGCCCTT